CCCTACCATGCTGTTGATCTCTCTATCGGGGTGTCACAATCTTTTGCAGTTACTTTACACGATGAAATAGGCACGCCGTTCTACGAAGCCCAACAACGCAGTCTGCACTTGGTGGTGGAGAGCAACCAGCCTCATGTTGCATCTGCAGCACTGGTGGAGGAAGAAGTGCGGGATGCTGTGCCGGCAAATACATCACTAGTGATTCAGGCACTTCACCAAGGCACGGCCATTATCCGTGTCAGGCTTGCCGACAGACCGGAGGTTAGTGATTATGTTGCAGTTCAAGTGGGAGCATATGTGAGTCCTCGCAATCCAACTTTGCATGTTGGAGGGCGCATCAACTTCACAATTGGTGGAAGGGCGGCAGGGATTGCCTCAGGCGAACGGGGAAAATGGGTGTCAGGCAACGATAAGATTGTGAAAATAAATCCTCACACAGGCAAAGCAGAGGCAGTTGGGAGGGGGACAACAAGAGTGTTTTTCACCGGCCCACGCATAACTGTAGATACCACAGTCTCTGTGGTTCAGGTAGCATCATTAAGCATCAGCAGACCGGAGGGGAGCGGTCCAATTACAAATGTCGGCGATAAAGTCTACTTGTTTCCTGTTTCGTTCAGCTACAAGTCTGTACTGAATGATGGCTCTCCTAAGGACCAGTCCATTGCATTCACCTGCGAGCTCGATCCTCCGTACATAGGGATGGTGAGTGCCCGCAGGGATCCAGAGTCGGGACAGTCATCATGTGTGTTGCATCCCTACTCTCCGGCAGATCTGCAGTTGGATGTCAAGGGGCAGCCTCGATCGTGGCATCAGTATGATCTTGGAGGTGCAGCCTCTGGATCTATTCCGTTGATTGTGATGGCTGTTGTGGAGGGCCCCAGTGGATCTCTTGTTAAGGATAGGGTGACCCTGAACTTTGTTGGAGGCTTTACGTTGGCGAAGGAGGCACCGTCTCAGGTTACTTTGTTCCCGAGAACTAATCGCTCCATGGTGGTGCTTGTTGGAAACGTCGCGTCGGTCGATGTTTCATGGAGTAGGAAGGATGCATTGTCGGTGAGGGACATCAGTCGTCTGGATGAAGCGCCGGGATTGGCCGGAAAAGCGAGGTTCGAGGTCAAAGTCCTTCAACAAGGAGCTCCATTTGCCGACGTGCTCGTCTTCACYTCTCGTGAKACGGGGCARCAGTTGGAGCTTCCTGTCACCTTCAGGCCTGACGATACAAAATCGGAAAGAGAAATATCGATCGTCTCTAGCATTGTGACCACGGTTGCAGTTGSGGCAGTGGTGATGTTGCTTGTATGGGTGTGTGCATGGTCCATGGATCAACCTCAAGTAATTCCTCCCCCTCCACCAGGTTCGATGATCTCTCCTCCCGGACGTGCCACTAGTCCAGCAACACCTCCCAGTGGCACTAGCACTTTCGGACGTACTACTCCAGTGCAGCAGCCTTTCGACACCCAACTGCGCTCACCCTCTCCATCCCGACCCGCTGTGCAGTCGCCCCCGTATACAGAGCATCTCAGCAGGACAATTCAACGAACACCGTATTTCGATAGGGATATGGCAAGGCGCTTCGACCCCACACGGACATACTAGGGTCTCATAGAGGTGCTATGGTGGGTGAGGGTGATACTGTATTCCCCTCCCCCCTCACCAAATTCAGTTTTGTAACTTCAGTTTTGTTACTCTTGTTTCTTCACCTGTCGGAGCACCAAAGCCTGTGATGTTAGCATTGCAATTCCTCGAGTCTTTTCCTTTGTTTTTCACTTAGTGCAGCAGATGTTCCCTCCATCCTCCCGGTCTCTCAATCAATTGGCTGCGCGGATCCTTGCTCATGAGAATGATGCCTGGTAGGTGGTTTGTTCGTCAGGCAATGTGGCACCCCATTTGTTGTTCAGATCTGGCACAAACTGCACAAAACGAGTGGTTCAAACTGCACAAAACGAGTGGTAGTCTGTCTACCAGTGTGGAATCATGGGAGGACGATGGAGATGGGCAATGGAAATGATGTCAAGGTAAGAAGGTAGTAGCAGGTTCGAATTGAAATAGGTTAAAGGGTAGGGATGCTTTTTCTGCTTGTTAGTTTCATGTTTCATTAGTTAGGGAACAGTGCCTCAGAAGAGTGTGACAGGTAAGCGAACACAGTAGAAGTAGCAGGAACGGTAGTTTCGTCAGTGCATGATGTGGCATCCAGATTCTATAAAGTGGCGCAGCTCGGGAGAGTGGAAGGTGAGGGTTCTCAATAGTATGAGTCGTTAGAGAGGAAGGTAGATTTCTGGTAGCCACGGATCTTTGTTTTGGAGCGGAAGAGATCTGAATCCCATCGATTGTAGTTTCTCATGATCACGGCTTCATCGCTTTGTTAACTAACCTGAGTGCATCAGGGCAAGTCATGATCCATACCCGTGTTCTGTTCTTGGTTCTTATGCTTTGAAGTTTGAGCAGTACTGAAGTTTCTGGTTTAGTTTCAAGCAAATCACTTTGCCTCTTCCCCCTCTCCTCTGATTGTGAACTGTGTGTGTGTTTGTGTGTGTGTGTGTGGGCGGGGGTGTGGGTCGGTGGGTGGGTGGGGGTGGGTCGAGGTGGCTGCGGTTGGACGGGTGTCGGGTGGTGTGTGTGTGTGTGTGTGTGTGTGTGTGTGTGTGTGTGTGTGTGTGTGTGCGAGTGTGTGCGTGGGTGCTTGCGTGGGTGCATGAGAGCTATAGACCGTAGAGCATTGTGGATATTGCTCCCAGTGAGAATAGAAGAAGAAGTGGAACCTATAAAATATAGAGTATTTCAGATATTGCTCCCGAAAGGTGTGTGAAACAAATGAGAATAGAACAAGAAGTGGAAGCTAGAAAATATACAACATATGTTCATCTTTTGTATAAGGGGTGTCACAAAAGTCTGTATTCATGATTACTTCCCCTCCCATCACTAAAGGTTTGGGTGGAGTCAATGGCCGTCGCTGCACCCATCACCAAAACTGCTAGAATGGATAAAGATACAACCGCCATTTTCTTGTCTTTTTCACATTTGGTGTGTGGTGTGGTGGGGTTCAACACCACGCATCTAGTATTGATGGTGGTTTAAACCATGGTAAACCACCAGTATCTCCTACTCCCGTTTTCGCATGCTAAATTTTGCCCGACCCTGAACGACAGAGCTGTTCCAGGGCCCAGGCCTACTGGTCGATGATGTGTTCGGAATCTCCACAAAACACGCATTGGAATTTGTCCATGCGATCCTGCCAGATGTTTTGATTCAAGCCTAGTAGGGTCTCCCAGGGCCTGCCTTCCGACCGTCCTGGGTGCCATCCACCCCTTCTGGGAGGTGATCGACTAGAGTTAGGGCGGTTAGACGGGGGACCTTGACCCCTAACTCCCTTTTGGTGGTCTCTGTTGCCGCCACCCCCCTGGCCACTTGGCCTTCGACCACCTGCGATCTGGCGACCTTTGCAGCGGCCTCGTCCATCTCCTTGCGGCCTCCCTCCGGCTGCGACGACAATGTAAAAACTCCCTCTCTTTGTACTGCTGTCCTCCTCATTCAATGTCAATATAGGGGACTTTTTGTGCGCCACCTTCCGCCATAGTCAATATGAGGCTATCTTTGACCTTGACTTGGCTAGAGATTGTGCGACCCTTCCACTTTTTCCCCTTTGCTAGGTCCTTATGCTAGAAAGTGGTAACTGGCATGGACTTGGCGGCAAAAGCAACAACTTCTCTACTGAGGATATCGTAAGTCATCCCAGACTGTTGTCTCTTGTTAAAGAAGTGTCATTGCAATTGCTCGGGCAACGCTCAATAGAAGAGATGGACTAGGTGTGTAACTATTGACAATTATATGTCATGCTCACTTACCCATAAAGCAAATAACTTCTCTAGACTAATCAACAGAAAAATTCCCACGAGAAATGAAAGTTGAAAAAACATTCCATAAAAAAAAAATCCTTCATATTTATAAATTATCATTCCAATGTTCGTCAAATTCAAAAATTTTCAGTTTTATTTGATAAGTTCTCGTCTAAATATGAGTTTTCCCTTCCACCTACATCTATTTATTCAAGATGGAATGAAAGTCTGGATGAGTTTATGAAATATTTTAATTAAATTTTCATTCTACTCCAACAAATATCTTCTAATTTAGATTGGATTAACCTATTTATGACTGAAAATCCTTACTTCGAATGACAGTCCAATTAAAATATTTCATGAACTCATCCAGACTTTCATTCCATCTCTAGCATGCAGTCCAAATAAGAAGGGATACTCTATTCTTGGAATGAAAGTTTGAAAGTAAGATGAAAATTTTTAAAATTGGAATCACATTTTATAAGTTGGAATGAAAATTTAAAATTTAGATTGTAATTTTATTATAGAATGATTATTTAATTCTGGGAAATTTTTCCGTTGATCCAGTTCTTGCCTCTGCGGGCAAAGGTACGAGAACGGCGTACTTACTAAATTGATCTATTACGACCATGACTTGACTTTTTCCATGCCTACTTCTAACCCCTGTATCCTTGAAGTCAATGGAAACAGACTCTCCGGGTCCTGCTGGGATAGGGAAACCTTAGGGTCTAAGAAGACCTATTGCGCTGACAAACTTTGCAGTCGCTGACATACTCTATACAGTTGGCTTTCATGCCAGGCCATGTATATGACATCGATAGGTTGGCTAATGTCTTTTGTAAGCCGAAGTGTCATTTTGTATCATGGCATTCCCCTAGGATCAAGCTACAAATCTCTTCACTATTACGAACGCATAGTCTATCAACGACATTGGTCTTTTCAAAGAGTAGCCCGTTTGTGGTCCGATAATCTGACTCGATGTTAGGGTTTTTCTTAACTGTCCTTAGGAGATCACCATAAATCGGGTCTTGAGCATATGCGTCTTTTATTTTTTGTTGTAGATCTGCCCCTATGTCCAAATAATGCACTATTGCCCCAAAGTAATCATCTCCCCTACTTAGGGCATCGACTACCACGTTATACTTACCTTTCATGGGCTTGAGCTCAAAGTCAAACTGGTCTTTCTCTGTTTTCCACCTAGTCAACTGGAGCATCATCTTGGCTTGCGTCTTCAACCATCTTAGTGTTTCATGATATGAGTAGACATTAAAGCATCTCCCACTATGAAACACCCGCGAACGCGTCCGCGGGGTCCAGCTCGGATGGCGGCCGTATATACGGCCGCGTGCACGACCGACTTGGTCTGCGCCGCGGACGCGAATTTACCATATTTTTCCTGAATCAAATAATGGGTAAACAAAATTAAAAAAATATGGGGTTGTAGAGATTTTTAATCCCTACAACCCCATAGTTTTTTTTTTTGAAAAAAGATAAGTTTTTAGAATTATAAAAAACAGAAAAGGTGGAGAAGAGAAATTCAAAACAAAATTAAAAAAAAAGTTTTTTGGGGGGGACGGATTTTTGGTTGGCAGTTCTTTGTATTCTTCTTTTTTACGTTTTTTTTCTTTGGAATGGGAATATATATATATATATATATATATTTATTTATTTATTTATTTTTTCGGGGCCTTTTAATATTTGTATGTAAACATGTGTGTGTGTGCGTGAAAGTGTGTATGTGTGTGTGTGTGTGTGTGTGTGTGTGTGTGTGTGTGTGTGTGTGTGTAAACATACTCACAGTCTACTTCTTACCCCGTGAAAGTCCGAACAGGCAGTGCGGACCAGTCCACAATAATCATGAGCGACGTCTCGAACAACTTATTATAACATAAACAGAGAACTAACTATTACTTGGCTTTGTCCTGGCAATCATAAAAGAGGCTTCCGAATATACTCAGCCTTTTGTCTTGCTATGAAGACAGGAACACTGCGATCCCCAATCAATTAGCAAACAAAGACCATGGCATTAACGTACAAGGAGTGTTTGACACGCAATGGAGGCGGAGTAGCTATATGGGGTTGGGGAGGGGGAGCTGAATGTTTCTTTAGAGAAGCGGTATTCAGAGAAAGCGAGAGGGCAAGGGTAAGGTCGGTAGCATATTAGGTAGATGCACATCGAAGACTGGGCGGGAGATGTGGAGTGGTACGTAATCGTCTATTTATGAGTGGGGAAGTGGGAACTAGTTAGATTTCAGTCAAGGAGCAGTTGTCACATAAATTATTCAACAAAAATAAGGGCAGGGCGATGTATATCTAATCCAACGGTAGTAGCTTTAGGTTTTATAGCAAGTGAAGTGGAGGCGAGAGGGAGGGGGCGGATGGGGGAAGGGGTAAGCTTTTATAAGAGCACGGGTCTGATGTAGCTGCATATGATAAAGGAACGTGTTATAGGACGCCCATGCGTATATTATGTATCCAATAGGTGCTTTTGAAATGCAATAGGATTTTATATGTAGCGTCGTAGAAATAAGAGGCAATGTTGTGTAGATAAGTGTGAAGAAGGAAGGAGATGGGCGAAAAAAAGCCTTATTATATAACAGTGAATGGCGTGATTCATAAAAGGCATGCATAAGGCCGAAAAACTACTAAGCGTGCAAAATCTTTTGGGAAGCGATAAGACATTTTCAGTACGTGAGAAACAACTATCAACATCAAATGGTACAGGGTAGTGTGTTTAGCACCGGCGGACAAAACTTGATCAATTATTATTAAAGGGTAGCTTTTAGGGCAGCCGTAGATACGCCACCTGTTTAAAAGTGCAAGCGTTATTGCCCGTCTGTCTTAAGAAGTGGGTATCGGAGTAGAAATAGTTGTTGTTCAGTCATCGAATAAACCCTTTTGCGTAGCCGCGTGAAGTAAAACATGCGAAGTCTTTTGGGCGAAGCACAATATTACACACGATAGAAGCGAATATAAGTATGCGTGAATTCTTTGATCATCCAAACGCAAGGATACGAGGCACGGGTAAGGGTTTATGTCTTCTGCGAGGTACATGTATCAATCAAGTAAATTTATACACGGTGAAACAGAGACGTGCTTGGTTACTTATTTTAAGGGGGCAAAAAACAGCTTTCTGGCGACCTTGAACAAACTACAGACAGTACTAGCAATAGTTAGTATTGGTTCAGTTATAGTCACGAGTAGTATATTGTCGAAAAATGAATGTCGAGAGAATTAGCACAAACCCAGCGCATAGTGATGGTTAGATGGGCGGCTAGCTTGGGCGTGAGTGGTCTTGTCAGCAGGGGAGTCTACCCCTGCTTAGCGACTGGATCAGAGATCCGGGTATGTGTGGGGGGGGGTTGTGTACGCAACACGGCTATCCCATTTGCATGGGAAACATGACACAACACATCACAATCAAGAGCGTCCCGTCAGAAGATAATTAGATAGCCATTTTGGCTATGTTGTGGAGCAGCCGTGGGCGTTAGGGGGTCTATAGGGGGAGTTTG